TGTACATGTAAACCTTTCCCAAAAATACGGGTTGCTAATTTTGTGTTTTCCTCCGTGTCTCCTGCCCGTTTTAAACTGTCTTCAACAGAGGAGGAATTATGGCTTTGAATCTGCGCCAGGCATTCCTTCATGTGACTGTTAAGTGTGATTTATGAGTGACAACAGAAACACACAGAGGGAGAGAGAGATAGAGAGAGAGAGGAAAGAGAAGAGAGAGGAAGGAGTTGGGGGTGCGGGGTGGGTGCAGTAAGTAAGTTTCCGAGCTTTGAGGTAAGTTATAGGTCTTTGAGGCAACAGGTGTTGAAGCTCTGCATTCAGAAGCTTTCAAATTGCACATGTGGTGCACGCTTCAGATGGACGTATGTAAAACACACACACACACACACACACACACACACACAGAGAGAGAGAGAGAGAGCAAAAACTGGAGAATGATACAATGTCTTTACCACCTGTAGCCTGCAAGTGTGCTTTCGAATTTCACCCTTTTTCTTTCCTGAATATTTCCTCTGTTGTTTTAAGATATATCTCACACACACACACACACACACACACACACACACACACACACACACACACACACACACTTAATGATGATGAATGACTCACTGATTAAATGTGCACTGGGCTGTGCTGTTTCATAGAGCGGCAGAAGTGAAGAGTGATGAAGGTTTATAATTGAGCTCCACTGATTAGAGCAAAATACTTTTCATATGACACCCTGATAAAGTACAGATCCATACTGAAACACTCACGTACCATTTATTATTAATAATTATTATTATAGTGTTCAGTGCTGTTTAGAAGCATTCTATATCATACTTATCAGGGTTTGGAAATTCCTTTTTGTTTGGCTAATGCAGACTTCGCTGCCATGATCCTGTAAAACAGTCAAGCGGATTTAAACCAAGTGACTTGCTGGTTATGCCTGCCAGAGAAAATCCAAAGGCTCACATCAGGCTTTACATCAGTGGGGGAGAGCTCATGACTTCATTCAACCAGGCAGAAGTAAAAACAGCTCTCTGATGGAGTCTAATTGTAATGCAGGAACAAGAGGGAAACACGCTTGAATGGTGGCTCTTGTTATCCTAGACACATGGGGATTGTGTGCCACTGAATGCAACTTTTTACATCTGTCCAAACCACAAACGTTCAGTGAGGACTCAAGAGCAAGTTCTGTAGGTGATATCACACAAACAGTCTTATAGCCCAGTGGATCTTACACTGAAAAAGTTGTTTCAGTTCAGCAGTAAGTTTACCAAATACAGAAAAACCATTCATACCACAGTCACAATCATCCAACTTTCTACCAAAATCTTATCAACGTCTCAGTTAGTTTTGGGTGTGGGGGTGACCCGGGGGGTGAACCAGTCTGAGCATTACCTTTCCCGCAGGCTCCCCGCTGAATGAAAAGAACAGGTGGCTGCTGCAGCTTCTGCGCCCGCCGGCTGACCCTCTTCAGCTCGCAGATATTCCGGTAGGACACCCCATCGCTTCCACAAACCGGATCGGTGGTTTTGCACACGCAAGTCCCAGTCTTGCTTCTCCTCCTCACCGTGACAGTGTACGCCACCCCGCCGGAGACCGAGCACTCCATCCCCTCTCCGCACATCGGGTCCCCGAGCTTCCCGGTGCCGCCGCAAGCTTCGCCCTCGCCGGACGCGCACACCGGGCAGCAGTGGCAGGCATCGAGGGTTTGTCCCGCCTGGCAGTCCGCTGGTAGCCGGGGACACATCGACTTGTCACACCGAGCAGGACATCCGATAACATACCGGCTGGAGACCTGCGCATCTGCCGGCACGGACGCAAAGGCTACGATTACGCACAAAGACAGTGACCAAAACATGATTCCAACTAAAGAAAAAAGAAGTTTAAAAAAGAAAGTTAAATAGAAAGTCTAAAAGTGCGCTCTCTGCTTGCAGCGTTAGGGGATTAGAGAGCTCAGTAGTGCTGAAAGGGGGGAGTCACTTCAGCTGGAGAGGCATTTAACAGAAAGTCCACTGCGCAGCCAATTACGCGACTTTACGTTTTTTTTTGCAGGCTCCGCATCATAGAGCCAACTCACTCTGTGGATAATCACAATGAGCCCGGTGATTGGTGGGTTTACATGACGCACTTGAACGGAAGAGTGAGGATAAAATAAGAAACAGAGGAAAGTTGTTTTCAAGCAGAAGCACTGCTGGAAAAGTGACCAAGATCTGCGTTAATTCTTCTCTCTCTCTCTCTCTCTCTCTCTCTCTCTCCTCTTTCTGCTGCTTCCCTCGGAGTTGAGGAGGTCAAGGTCACCCAACAGCACCTCTGGAGCTTGTAGACACTGAAAGAAGCTCAAGAAAATCGACGCTTTTGGCAGTGTTTGCTGATATTGGCACTGACCCTGATTTAATTACTTACAAACAAATAAAAATAGAGAATTTAAAACTCAGCAGTGCCGCCCAGATGTTTTATATGCTGCACAGCCCTCCACACATCCTGCAGGCCTATTTCCTGCATGTTGTTTTTAACTACTCCCTTTATGAAATTAGTCACTCCTGGCATCCACGCAGGCCTTACGGCTATTTAGTGGTGGGTGTATTGTGGGATTTGGGGAGTTAATGTAGCGCTTTCACATAGCTCTTCATAAACAACCAAATTTGTTCTAATTGGAAATTAGCAAGAGAACTTCAATAATCAATTTGATCTTATCCTAGCTCTGTGGGTTATATGCACCCAGCTGGCGGGCAAATAAGCAACTTCACATGGGCTTACCAAATAAAAACAATCCAGTTAAACGTTAAATCACTCAAAAAGTAATCTAAACATTTCTTTCAATGACCATTTGTGCCACAAACTAAATGGAAAACTTTTCTTTCTCTCTTTCTTTCTGGAAATACCATAAAATAATCTGATTGTTTGTTAAATTGACAAACATTTCCAGCATTAAGAGACTAATTTTCAGTGTTGGCGAACAACAAATCTCTGTTAGGTTTTAGATGTCTGTGGTGAGCTGTAAAAGAATCCAATAAAGACTGAGGCAATGAATCAGCCTCATAAAACACCTCAGGACAATGTGATTGATTATGGGCACGGGGTCGTATTAATGGTTTAAATAGTGTGCCTGGATGCAGGGGAGCACCCCTCAGAGGCCCTGCTCGGGAATGGAGGGACGAGGCCCCCTGCGGTGCGTGGGGAGCTCGGGTTAACACAAGCTTCTGTATCCAAAAGGCAATTAGAGAGGGGCATAAAGTGACAGAGGGCAGTTACATGACTGCACTGCCTTGTACAGCACAGGAGTTAATTGAGAGGGTATACATTCATTCCTGAGCTCAGAAATGTAAGCATCATGTTTGGACTGATCCAAAAATGAATGAAACTCAGACAGCCTCAGTGTGACCTTACAGCATCATCAGACCCATTATGTGGCAGTACTCGTTGGAGCACAAGGACGTTGGCGAGAAATGGTGGGAAAATCTGCAGATGAAAACAACCTCATCTATAAGGAACACCCATTCTCCAACCAGGGCCAGTGAGCATAGCCAAGGATGGACGCCACTGAGGTCTGTGTGATCTCTCCACTCCAGTCTGCAATGATGTCTTTGGCTGTGAGGGAGGCCCTTCCGAGTCCAAATGGGGCTCGCCTGAAGCCACACCAAAGTGTTGCATCCTCCAATAAGGAGCTGATATGTACTTAGTGAATATGGAGCTCTACAGTGTGCAGTATATCCAAGAGCTGTACATCCAAGCTCCTACCCCTCAAACATCCACCATAGTGCCTACACATGCAGTATCCACGATATAATGTACAAAGACTGAAGCCCAGAATATGCCATAGCTCGCCCTCTGACTGATTAAAGAGGCTCTGCATATTCAGCATTGCTCCATGACCTCACTCTGTAAATCCATCTACTACACATGCTGTGTAAACCTCATTATGAGCTGATGAAGGGTTACCCATAGGTACATGACTGAATCAACAGTACTGAAGAGGAAATGCAGACTGCATGCAGTAGTGGAATGTAACTAAGTACATTTGATCATTTACAGTACTTAAGTACAAATTTGAGGTACTTGTACTTTATACTTCTACTCCAATTCAGATGGAAATATTTTACTTTGTTACTTATGAGTGCAGATTAAGCGTTACAAAACATATAATAAATTTATGAAACGTGATGAAGTTACAAATTGAACTATCCAGCAGTATTTAAAATAGTAAGCTCCACCTCAACCAACTACAACAGTAAACATACACCTTGATGCATCAGTAATAATAATCCAACAATATAAATATATATATATATATATATATATATATATATATATATATATATATATATATATATATATATATATATATATATATATATATATAGTGTTTTTGCACTATGAATACTTTTGATACTGTCACTAATAATACTACTTTTTTAGTCATTTATATTGTAAAAAGAGCAAAATTAACTCTTAATCAGGACTTGACTGTTTATGATTACTGGAATAATGTTGTGACTATATGATCATACACCAAAATAATTTCAGGCATATTGCAATCTAAGTGAGTTGTTGAAGTTGAAACACAGTTTAATGCACTGAATATTAAAAAGTGGGTTTCGCACATTTGCCATAATATAATGTATATTCTGCCCTGGTGTTAATTACAGTACCAATATTGGATTAAAAAAGCGCTGGGTGAAGAAATGTGGCCAATGAAGAGAAACAAACAAGGAGGAAACACAGTGTATTTTACTTTAAAGGACTGGTGAAGCTTGGTGTGTCCAGCAGACACTCACTCTTACTTTGCTTTCATTCTTGTAGAAGGTGTTTTGTACCACTGGAATTCATTCAATAAAGTGTCTTCTCTCACCACAAGAGGGCAGAAGGAGCTTTGGTGAGTGATGAATGCCATGCAACAGTGCATTTCTTTCTTTCCAGACTAAACTAAAGCTCTCAATTTACCTCCACAGACTGATTGTGCTCTGTGGAGATAAATAAAGCACACTACTAAATGACAATCCATGAAACCTGAGCACATTTTCAGTGTTTATTTCTTTCAAGTCATCCACATAATAAATAGAGACAATTCAAACCAATTACACCAGACTGAAACAGGGTGAACTAGCTTGAACTTTGCAGGGCATAAATGAAGCAGGCACTTTAAAAAAGATTAGTGTGTATTATTTAGCAGGACAACAGTGGGACATTTTTAAATAAAACCATGAGGCAGCGACCTCCTGCTGGGTTGGCGACACAGGTACAATGAATACGATCAGGAAACATCGAAAAGCATATAAAAAATAAATCTGCAAACACAGCTCTATTCTGCAAACACACAACACACAGAGCGGCCGTAGATGAACAAAAACTATGAAACAGAAAAAAAATCTGAGGAATCATTTAAATGGTAACAAGCAACGGAAGTGTCTGAACTTGAATGTTTTTTTTTTTTGTTAATCCAAAATGTTTGCGTGGTTTTTATACAGTTATTCAAACAATGGACTCATAGTTAGTTCATAAGTTAACTCATATGAGCCCGTTATTACCCAGTCTGTCAGGACATGAAGCTTATCTATAACTGACCCAGCCCTATTGCTGAAGGTTTTATTACTATGAATTACAAAATATATATAAGCGTACTCCTTGTACTTCCTGTTTACTCACAACGCTATTGTTCCTTTCTCATGTCTTCTAGTATCACAAAAGTGAGTCCATAAAGTCTGGTACGCTGAAATGTAGTCCACAAAGAAGCTGATTCATGTTGTGAGGCATGTACATATAGTTTATATAATTTCCAAAACTGTTGTTTTTCTTATGGGCTTCTGAACAGTCAAACTCACTTTACTTCCAGAGGAAGCTTATCTATAAGACCATTCATTGTAGCTTTACATGTAGCTTGTGGTAAAAGTGAGCACATCATTATATGATTGAGCAACCCACTGAAATATTTAAAAATAAAGAGAAATTTAAGTCAGTCTTGGCAGTCAGTCTTTATAAAAAAAAAAAAAAAATAGGTCTATATACACTGGGTCATACACTAAGCTTTCAGCATTTAGTCCTAGACCAGTCCAGAATCTTTGAATTATAATTTGCATCAGAGTGAGAATTTGATCTCAAACTATGCTTGACACATATCCCTAACACTGGCAAACAATAGTAGACAAATCCAGGGTTACAATAGTGAGCGTATGAATCAAATCGCACAGTTTAAATTAGTGATTAGAAAGGTGATGAAAAGTAAGTCTTTAGTTTGAACACTCTTTTCAATCAAGAGTAGTTTGCGCTTGAAAGCTCCCTTATTTTCATGGCACTAAGTGGTTTACAAACATCCTCCGCCCACAAAGACCGTTGAACACACCGTTGTGCCTGTACAGGTTAAAATAAAGCTCTGTCATTGAATTCTAATCAGCACGAGTAAACTAAAAATGTGTAGTTTTGTTTAACAACATCAACTGTAAGTAAATAAATACACGATTGTAAATGCGACAGCAGGCGGGCAGAGGGGTGTGGGTGCAGACTGGGTTGTCTTTGGCACACGAGTGCAGTTCAGTGGTGACCCAACGTGTGTCTCTAGAGCACTGACGGCACTGACGGCACTGACGGAGGAGCTCAAAAGTTGAGTTTGTGATGTTGCACGCTGTCATCCGCCAACAGCTTTGGTTTGAAAACCAATGCCTGCCCTTTTGAAACACTTACTGTGCACAGTTTCCTCTCTATCTGTGGAGTCCATATCCAGACAAACACGTTTTAACGTCCAGTTCAACGGCTCAGACCTCGCTCACCGGCAGGTCAGCGTCATCCAGGTCCAGGGGTGGTTCGGGCACGTGGGGCTCAAAGCTGCTCCGCCGTCGCCACGGTGACTCCTCAGAGTTGTTGATGGTGGTCACAGTTGGTTCGCAGGTCACTTTGCCAGGCGCGTCTCCTGCAGGGACAGGCGTGCTGGCGTGTGGCTGTGACTGGGCCGTGGCAGCAGGCTCATGAAGTGCTCGCTGTCCCACGCCAGGCTGCGAGCGTGTGCCGCACGTGACAGCAGCCCCCCACTCTGGGTAGCATGGTTGCATGGCAGATATGGGCGAGCGAGGGACGGGGGGACCCGCGGGGCTGCGGTAGAAAGTGGAACGGCTGCCGTGTTCCTGTAGCAGAGACAGTGGGAGGACACAGAGAGAGCGAGGGGTGAGGGAGACAAGATGAGTGGTTGTTAGTGAGAAAAATGAAATCCTGAAATGTGTAGTTCACTTGAGAAGCGCAAAAAGTGAGTTACAGACTTGGAATTAACACCGGCATGTGGAGCCTGATGCAGCTTTTAGCAGAGTTGGTACTCAAGGTTGTAGGTGCTGAAGAATGTAGCATTGCTAGAAAGTGGAGATGGTGGTAGTAGCAGTAGTAGTAGTAGTAGTAGTAGTAGTAGTAGTAGTAGTAGTAGTAGTAGAAGCAGTAGTAGTAGAGGTAGCGGAAGTAGTGGTAGTAGTGTCAGCAGGTTTTTAGTTTTTAGTAGTCTCAACAGGTTGCAGTGGAGGGGCAGAGTGCCTTAGGAAGCAGTGGTTGGTTGTTGCTCATTATATCACAGCTTTTCACTGTCAGATTTTAATCTCTGAAACACAGAACAGAAGCATGGGAAGAAAGAAGAAACACAGCAGAGGTAGTGAAAGCAAACAAGGGTAGCCATTGAGCAGTGGGTGAAATGTTGGTTAGAGAAACATCCCAGCTATAAAGCACCAAAAGACTCCCAGACAAGTATCTGTGTAGACCTTAAAATATCCATTTTTTTTTTACACAGCAGTTTCTCCCTCACAACTCAGCTTGTGAAACTCATCAGTGAATCCACAGAGCACCACTTAAGCGGCACAATATTTAAGAATCAGTTTCCTAGCAACAAACATGTCTAAAAATCCAAGGGAAGGTCACATATGTATTAAACGATGCTTTATACTGAATCCAAAGGTCCTAAATCAAACTCATGTAGAATTTTAGGGGACAGATGGTTAGAAAAGATACTACACTGGAGACTTGAAAAACTGCCCACAGATCACTGCACTACTGATTAATTAATATGATCTCATAATATATGCATGTCCCATTAGCCTCTTGTACACTCTAACAGCTCTGACAAACCCAAATATTTACATGTAAATCAACATGCCACAATGAGAAACAATTGGAGACTGTGGACGTGTGGATTCAGCACTGGGGAGTCCTGATTTCAAAGCTGTTAAAATGTTCAAAACATTCATCACACAAATAAAAGGTATAGGAAGTCAACATGGAAACAAGTATATTATCGTGTGTATGAGAAAGAGAAAAAACATACAGGCAGCGAACAGGAGGGAGGAGGAGAGACAAGCAGGATGTCACACATCTAAGACAGGTACACAGCTGCAGCAGACTGCAGAGATAACAGAGCATGAAGGGAAGAGAAACAGAAGGTGTGAAAGACACATGTACCCAGTAATAAAGACAGAGACAGAAACAGGCTTAAGGTATTCATAGCTAAGCTGGTATACGTCATGCGGTGAGTGCATGTTTTTGACTGGAGATGAATTCATGTGTTTATTTATATTTTACACATCAATAATGGTGAGGACAGGTAAAAGCTGTGCAAGTGAAGCTACAAGGGAGGGAGGGAGGCAGTGACTGCAGGTCTTTTCCGATGGATAGGTGGTCTTATTCCAGCTGTTAAGGCATTCTGTACCCTCAGTAAAATATTACTTTTTAGCATTTGACTTGAGGTGTGCTTGATCTCAGTTGCCATGCTCATGGCGACAGTCATCACATGCGAGAGAAGCTAAATCAAGCACACCTTGAGCCTCGAAACTCCTGACACAACATTTTCTTTTTTTTTTGTTACGCGTTTAACTGGAGAAAATCTGAGCGCATTGAATGAAATGGGCTCAACTTCAAGCTGAACTTAAAGTGACAGTGCGGCGGAAAGAAAAGCAAGGTAGGAGAAGTGGATAAGAGAAGCAGTGAGGACGAGGGCTTGAAGGGAAGAGCGCTTGTTGGGTTATCACAGCCATACTTAGGATGTGGTTGATTCTTAGAAAAAAAGGGAGCATCAGATGTGCGGTCAGATCTGATCTGCTCACATAAGGTCTACAACCACAAAGGGCCAGCCAGTGAGTGGAAAACAGTATTAAAAAAAAAGGTGAACTTATAGTTTAAAAGGGGGGATTTAGACGAGCTGACATACGTGCTGCTGCACTCCCCGATTCGGGACGTATACCTCTGTATACAGGGGTTCGACAGCCGTCTGGCCTGCCGCATCTGCAACAACACAGTGCAAAGCAGTATTAGAGCAGATGGGCTGTCTGCCCACAGGGAGAGGAGGAGGTGGAGAGAATGTGACAAAGAAAGATAGAAAGGGGAAAAAGAGGACAGAGAGAAGAGGCAGAGGAGAGGAAAAAATGAGGTGAGAGAAAAAAAAAATATATAAGCAGAAGAGAAAGAAAGACACAGGAGGCAAGAAAGAGGGAACTGTAGAGAAACAGACAGCGCAGAGCTGTTGAGAATGATTCCAGTCTAACCAGAAGGGACCAACTGCGGCAGAGGACACTGTCTCCTCTGCAGTCAGGACTATGGAGCTTGTTTACTTCTCTCTTCTCACCTGGCAAGTCTACTTTGCCCTTCACGATGCATGTATGCTTCTGATTGAACTAATTAAGCAGTTCTAAACTCAGATTTTGTGGTCTGTGCGAGTACGCCGGTCTGTCATCACTGGTTATCTCATGTACTGATGACCTGCTTTGGTAACAAATCTGTATAGGGGGCGCCTGGTGGCTCAGGGGTTAAGGCACCCAACATGAACGACAGCATCCCCAGATAGCATTCAGCTGGGGACCTTTGTTGCACGTCATTCATCCTCGCTCTCTCTCTCTCATTTCTGTCATCTATCAACTGTTGACGGTCTGATAAAAGGCATTACATAGCCAAGAAAGTACAGTAAAAAAAACAGCCTGCTTTGCTGTTGGGTGGTGACGAGGAGGGATGAGGAAAATGCAGAACATGCTACAAATGTCCCAAGGCCTTCTACTGATCTGTGGCTCGGGCAAAAACTGACTTTTTTTGTCCACCGGCAAGGAAGGAAGGAAGGAAGGAAGGAAGGAAGGAAGGAAGGGTTCAATTTTGACCAGATACTCAGTAGATTACATTGGGGTTTTTTTTGGCTGGTAAGTGAAGCAAATCTACCAGCCACTTGCATATTTTACCAGCATTTGGCTGATGGCTGGTGCTAATTTTGTGCCCTGGACTTGGGAGTTGGGAACTACATGTGTACACAGAGAAGAATTTAACTTCATCACTATACAACCACAACTGGAACACCTGGGTTTCATATTCTTGAAATATGATCAGATAGTCATACGGTAAATTCATCTGAAACATACTACTGCCAAACTACTGTTTCTGCTACTCTGCATCTCTTTAGCTTTCAGGTGTAAGAGTTCTTGTGATAGTAAGAAACTGCAAAGAATAATCAATAAATGACATGAGTGAAAAAATACAAATAAGTCTTGTGAATAATCTCGACTTGACTCCTCATACCACCAGATGTCACTCAGTAAGCGAGTCTCATGTCATTTCCCTTCTTCACATTTGAGGTCTCTGAAATCTGAAGTGTACTATTATTATTACTTGAATCCATTCTATGGTAACATTGTGCTGTACTGTAGTGCAAGATACATACTGTGGCAGCGGACCTCCCAGGCCCCCGCTGGGCCACAATGGCCCCTGAGACAGCCTTGATCCAGCTGTGCATCTCCTCTGGGCTATCCGCCTAGTGAAAACATAAAATAAAAGGACATTGAGGACAGTGGGGAAAACACTGTGGATAGATTTGGAGACAATCAGTGTTTACAAACACTGCAGAACTGTAATGGAATCTATTGTACATTCCTTTTACCACTGAAAACATTCTACCTGTATGTAAAATGTCCTTGATGTGGTGACGACTTCAAACAGATTATCTCTCATCATGATGTCACTACAAGAAAAGTGGAAAACAAGTCAGATCAAATTCATCTCATGTTTATCTTCATCTACATCAGAGAAGGTAAACACCATCCTCCTGGACAAAAGACATTTTTTGTACAATAGGAAAATGCCGGGACATGTTAAATACCTCTGTTTGCACTCCTGGACTTTGTGAACTTCCTTTAGTGGGATCATTCTCAGAGGCTCTTTCTCCTAAAGTCCAGAAAGTAACCATTAATAATACTTAAATAAGCCAAAACCTAACAACTTAAAAACACAGGATAAATATGATGATTTACATGTATATTAAATTTTTTTTTTGCTAATATAAAAACAAGGCAGAGTTGTTCTGTGTAAGAGGGACAGAAGACAGGGAACTTTCCTAGAAGTAGTAGACTGCAAACTAAAATCCCTGATGGTGGTAACTTTCTTGACCCGGCCATTTGATACAGCAGACACAGAGTCTGTGTCCTTGGGGCCTGTTGATAGCCAAATAGACAGATAAAGCTGTCAAATAAGGGCAGCCCCGGACAAGGACGGGGTATGGGACGTGCAGTATTATCCTGAGGACAGTCTGTGTGTGTATGTGTGTAAGAAAGGCCGGGGGGGGACAAGGCATGATAGGACATGTGAGGTGAAGGCATTGAATTCCACAGACTGCGGATAAAACATGTTAGAACTCGGGACTGTGTGTTTGCTGTTACTCTGCCTCTGTGACTGTGACTGTGGGGTGAATCCAACCCACATGCATCGTCAATAAAAACATTCCTTAACAGCTTCGCAAAACTTAATCAAAGTTAATTACCAAATCTGACTTGAAGTAACTCATTGAGTTTTCCTCCAGCAGGAAATACCGCCGTTTCCAGTTCCTCATCTGGGGGGAAAAGAGGAAAAGACGTTCAGAGATTTGGTATAATTTCCAGACAAAACAAGATTACGATAATAATGAAATTCTACTTATACTTTGTACACATTGCGCTATTTCACCCTCTACATACAATAAAGAGGGAAGTTTATTATCATTGGGAATTTATAACTTGAAAAGTTGCCATTCTTTAGGCAACAAAATTCTTTACCATTATCAAGCTGAATTCTTATCACCTCGCATTCACTAAGTCATAAGACTTTACATTCTCTCCCTCGTGAAGTTGCTATTGATGTATACTGCTGCCATTAATCATAAATGTTGCTGCATGTTAGTGATGATTGCTAAATGCAGTGGATATACAGATCAGAGTGTAGCTAGCACTGCATGCAGCCAGTGATACCCAGCCAAAACTACACGCCTAATTTGAAAGATGTTTCAAGAGTCCCAACGTCTCTGAATAGTACCAGAAAACGAAGTGAAACCATCTTAACCCAAAAGACAATCAACAGAGAGAGTGGCACTCACCACAGCGCCCTGCTTGACGCAGTAGCCAGACTTGATGACTGTGTGCTCCTGAGTCGGCCTTCCCAGGAAGTATGGCAGCTGGCTGTGGGAGCGATGCATGGCCTCACGCTCCGCTCTGTCTACACCATCACCACCTTCATGCTTGAGGGTGAAGGACACCAGAAATATTGTGTCAGTGCAAGTTCCAAGAACATTTTAATAAAACATACAAACATAGGTTTTCATACAGTCGATAAGAAGTTTATGCCGAGGATTCTACAAACACAAATGACATCGGCCACAATCCTGGTGAGACAGAAGTTTGAGTTAAAGGTAAAGCAGTGTAGCAGGATATAAAATATAATTAATAACAAAATTATGTTTTTTTTTTAAATAATACACATTTATATATACATAATATAGTATTTTGCCAACAGTTTTCCTGTGGGTGTCAAAACATTAAGTGTGCTTATGTGCATGAATATAAATACAGTATGTTGGGTGCTGTGGGTGATGTTTTACCTGTGTCTGGGTGACGATGGGGACTCCTCCAATGATCTCTGTCTTATAGGAAACTTGTTTCTTGGGCCCTACGACATCTGGCAAAGCCTTCTGGTTCTCTGCATTCTGCTGCCCATCAGACAACTTTGGTACCTTAGGAAAACAGACACACATTAAAGCTGATGAATCTGAGGGGAGCTGTTAACACACAAATACCAGATAGAAACAGGGGGTTTTGTGGACTTCAGGTGTAGGCTGGCCTTTTTCTCTGTAGATAAAATATGTCACTTGTATGTATGCAGAAGTTCACAAGCCTGTAACACATTTTCTTTCTGGATGGTAATGGCTTCATGGAGAACAATGGAAACAGTCCTTTATCCAAGCACTCCATAAAACAATACAGCATCCTGTTAGTCATGCTCTGACTCACTCCTTTCTAGTTACTTGACAGTCCACTCATTCATTTCTACAGAAGAGGAAGAAATAAAAGTTTCTCCAAGTGATAAAACATGAGCCAAAAAGAACAGATTAGTACAGCTGAATCAGAGATGCAGCGTATGTTTTTATGCGTGGGTTTGACTCACGGTGATCTTGGTAGCTTTATTGAGAGCGTTCACCCAGTCTACGAGGTCCTGCTGGTCGTTGGCCTGCAGGAAGAACTTCCTCATCCCAGCATTGATGACTAATAGATCGTAAAAAGAACAGCAGTGGGAACAGTATGAGTGAAAGTATATTAAGATATCTTCAGTCACAGTCAGACTACATTCTTTACACATCATCTGATTCATTTTAAGTTCAATATAATTCACATACAAATAAGAAATACAGGTAGAAAGATGTACAATAAACGGGGTGTTGCCATTCTTGTACAGAAAATATGACGGGAGCAAAGAGATCCACTGCCAAAGATTTCTCTGGAAGTGAAACATAACTGAGCCAAGGGACTCTCCCACACACTACCAGCAGCAGTCTCTCCATGTGGATGATGACCCAGCTAGATCCAGCTGCTTCAGTCTGCCACCACCTACCCACCCGCTACCCACCATGAGAAGAAAAAAAAAAAAAAAGCCCACGGCTACAAACCACCAAATATTCTTGCATATTTTCACACCCATGTGAACATGAGCAAACCCTGTTTTCAATCACAAAGAAATTTTTGGGTCAAATGCTGATTAGCTATGGATCAGGATTTAAAAGCTGAAAGAACTCAAGTCTCTCATTCTCTCTCCCTCTCTCTTCCATAAATCCTTCAATTCGGCAGCTCAAACCGTCCTTGTGTCTCCTCTATTTCCTTTCGACACCGTGTGAATAAATTACATTAAAGCTGGACTGGTAAATCTGGCGGGGGTGAGCTGTAAACGGCACTGAGAGCTCAAACTCTGTGGCACAATGAGGATCATTCTTCCTTGCTCTGTGTGTTGGGTCCAGCTCTTAGACACATGCAAGACTTCACTCCCTCTCCTTTTTCCACTTCCCTGTAAATGAATCTGTCTGTCTAGTCTCATTCAGATGACCAGCATGAATTAATTCAACCTTTAAATGTCCACTATATGTTTGGGAGAGGTAAACTGACTGTTAAGGGTGAAATTTGGGGGGATTTGACTCACAGTTACACATTATAAAACAATGTGTGCTGCTTAGAACTGCAGCCAAGCACCAGAGTTCACACAAATGCGCCACTCTTGATCTCTACCACCAACACACGTATGGCACAGGCCTATCCATCATCAATAACAGATTGCAATCAGGTCTCTACTTGTTGACTGTGACAGCGATTACCTACTTTTTCTGTTTCTTCTTAAGTTGCTAGATGCAGGAATGTGGGGGGGGGGAGGATTCGTAGATATCAGCAAAACATGTGGCCCACAAACGGCAGTGTAAAAATAACTTCATACATCTCTGAATCAGGTTCCGATTAGGATGTTGGCATCCTGTCGAAATCTCAACAAGGCAACTGGTGTGCTCACGCAGCCAGACACACGCACAGTCACGGTCGTCAACACGCTAGTATTTCCTGCCATTGAAGCGGCTGGAAGAGGAGGAGAGGGGCTAGTAAACAAAAACAGGGAATGGAGGTTTACTCCTAAATAACCAGATGACGGTCCATATTTATGCAAAATTTTTCATTTCCATCCTGACCACACAAGGTGAGAGGACAAGGATAAATGTCAAGATATAGCAATATCTTTGTTGCACAATGTCCACTAGTGAATCAGGGGACATATAGATACATATAGCAGACCGATGGGGGACAGATATCAGAACTGGCATGGAACAATATGAAAATTTAATGTCCCGATTATCTCGACCAAAATAATTGCAATACACGGCATTACTGCAAGTATATTTCATACTTTTAAAATGGCACTTAAATATACAGGAATCACTTGACCTTACAAACACATATATTTATTTCATCACATTCCCCTCTTCTTTGATTTGCAATTTATACTATTGCCACACATCCGGTTTAAATTAACCGAGCCTTCAGCCATGGTGACAGGTTTTGGATTTTTGTATGACTTGAAAGATGTGGACTCTCCCTTGTCCCCTCGCTCAAAATAAATCAGGAAATCATTACAGGAATGCATGCTGGCGAGCTAGACAGCTTTTCTCTAGTCAAGCCATGTGAGGATATATCACAATACTGGAAATTCATCGTCCCACCCCTTGAGAACTGCTTGTTGGATGGTAAAATAGCTTCAGAAACTCCGCCCCCACACACCTCTTTGTCGCTGGATTTGAGGGAACTGTGACCAAACATTTCTGTAACTTTCCAAAACTGACATTTACACCCACTTCAGGCTGCGACTGGCCAGCAGTGTGGAGGTGAGCCAGGACAACTTCTTGCTCTAGCTCTCTTCTTCTTCCATTACAAAACTATTTGTGGCACTTTTCATGTGAACAACTGAGCGCCACGCAGGAGAGATGTATCTGTCTGAAATTATGACAGATTTTCACCCTATTTATAAGTGTGGTTGGAAGCCCGTCATACAAACCAGTTCCTTTCTAGCATACCCCAGACCTAGGGGTCAGTATTTTGAACCCACACACAAGTTGTCGTGAAGGATAGAAACAAGGGCCTTTCAACGCAGAGAAACTAAGTCAGATTTTAATTAGTAAATCTTTTTTTTTAAGTTAAATTATTATTATTGTACGTGTGCATTTTTCATTTGGTGTCTTTTCCACAACCCAGTCTCTATTACTGCATTTATTCTGGGGTAAATTACAAATGGGACTTTCAACTCCACAAGGCACCATTAGTATTTACATTAATAGGAAAGATGGAAGAATCAAAAACCTCTGCCTCTCTGTAGTAGTACAATTATAAAAAAAGGACTCTTGGGAGAAATGTCTAATTACCAAGATTCTGAATGTATCAAATGTAGAAATATGATGATCCAAGAGAACTCATCAGGTGTCAACACAACCATGTTGTCGCCTCCTGCATCTTTGCGTGTTGGCTAAACAGACAATGTTGAACAAGGCTGCCTGGTCAGTGGCAGAGAACGTATGTGGAGAGCAGTGCTTGACCATGTTTAGAGGGCAGAGAAGGACAACAAACATTCCTCCGTTAGGTTATATTAAGTGTACTCAGCTTTGTCAACATGTGATGCTGATGTTTGCATAGCCCAGCAGGGTTTTTTTTACGTTCTATACTTTTACAAGATGTAAGTTTTTTTTTCATAAGCTAAGACCCAAGTTAGAAAACAATGATTTAAACTGTATTTTCTGAGGAAACTAATAACAAATGGCAAGATTGAGATGATCAGTGTTTTCTTACCAAAACAGAACTCTGCCTTAGGCCTCAGCTTAGTGGCATCGCTGACCTAAAGGAGGACAAAGCACACAACTGTTAGCCTTCCAGTTTAACCAAATACTGTAAATGGATTCTATTTATACAGAATCTTATCATGTTAGTGTCAGATAAGCTTCGGTGGTAATGTTTCTTCTTACCTTAGAGATGTAGGTGAGCTTGAGGGAGCCCATACAGTCTGCACCAATAGGCAGGTTCTGTGGGAGAATGATAAAAAGAACAATATGGGCAAAAACAGAAAGCTAACCATTCACTACTTTACTAAGGCCTTAGCTGTGGATTAACGACAGAATGCAATGCGGTAGGAGAGTGAAGTCAAGTTCAGCAGACTAAGTCAATAGTAAGTACAGTATACTGTGCACCCCGTAGTAGTTAATTTCAGTTTCTTGCTGCACTTCTGAAACTAGGGGATCCAGATTTAACATCATTAAAATTTAAGCTTTTTCAATCTATAAAAAGAAAGGGACTTACTGAATTATTTAAAATCTCCCCTGCACTACATGATTTATGAATACTTCATGTAACAGCGCACTTACAAATACAGCATATCCAAACCAGCATGATGTACAAACCAAGAAGAGAGTTACACTGCAATAACTGTGACACTGTGAGTCAGAAAATGACGACCGCTGTGGTCAACGCAAATATCAGTGCCCACTGCACAGACTCATCCAGAGGACTAGACAACAAAAAACGTATACCAGGTTTAGAGTTAAACATCAGTTCATTCTAAAAAAAAAATGTCTTCTGATAGCTAAAACACAAACACACCATTACACCTGACCTACTCCTGTGAGTGTAATATGTGCTTCCTAATTGCTGTCAACTAGAATTACATAATACAAGTTCTCCCATCCTTTTATGGAAACAGTTAGCCTGAACTTGGCTTTGTGTTCATAATGAATGAAGACAGCTTAGCTAGCAGTAGCCTGCAGTTGCATGAGAGCTGATCATCCACATTGATAACTAACAATAGCAGGCATGCAGTTGCCTGTAAACTGTCCAGTTTTCCATCAACAAATTAAACGTTAGCCTGTGCAGAAACCTGGAAACCCCCAAAATAAAGCTAAAAGCTAAGCTAACACAGCCCTGTGTAATTACCTGTGGGTTGTCCATGAACCACACCAAGCTTCCCTGCTGCGTGTCCAGTATGAAGTAACGACGCAGGAACTTGCCACTGCTCTCGTTCTCCTCTATGTCCAGGAAGCCACAGATGCGGTTCTGTCGGTCCACATAAGGCATCTCACCGCCGGGACATTCCCTGGCCTGCTGGGGCCGGGAATGGAGCAGAGCGGGGGCCAAGTGGGACCGGGGAGAACTCCTAAAGGACCGAGAGAAAAAGAGTGGAAAAAGACACGTGTGAGGAGGGAGGGAGTAAATAAGGGATTTCAGTTGTCTTTGTGGTGAGCCATGCTAGCGTATCCTGCTCCCTCTTTCTCTCTGTATCCACTGTATCTCTGGTCTCTCTGCCACCTGGAGCTCACTAGGCTACAGCCTGCCAGGGGATCATGTGACACAAACCACAACCCCGCCTTTATCCTTTTATATCAGCCTCACCCACTCTCTCTCTCTCTCTCTCTCCCTCTTTTGCTCTCTCTGAGTCCCTCTTTTCTCTCTTGTAACACACTGTCACTCTCTCTTCTACCTCCTCCTCCTCCTCCTCCTCCTCCTCCCGCCCTGGCTTGCTCTCTTTCTTTCCTTCTCCCTCGTCCTCTCTTGCTGCACTCTCCTCTCTCACTTTCTGTGCTATCTCCTCCCAACTGCTCTCTCATCCGATTTGGCAAGCCTCTGGCCGGCCCCTTCTGTCCCCTCCTTCCCTCCACAGCTGAGCACCCACTTGAGCATGGTCAAAAAGAAAAAAAATCACCATTGAGCTCAGCCATGTTCGACACAAAGAAACAACACAAACGCCCTCAGAAGCTGCGCATGAGAGAATACCGTATGCAATATTTAACTTGCTGAAGTCTGACACAACCCCTGAAACCTACAGCTCAGTCAACAAAAAAGTAAATGATTAGAGTGCATCTGTTTTGTCCTACGAGTGTGAACGCACACACGTCACTGTCAAACTCTTTGTGGGTGGGTGGGTGCAGCATTACTGTAGGAATATTGTCATTAGCCTGTTTAAGCTGCTGTCTTTTTGGACTGAGCCTAAAATATGTGATTGGGATGAGTCTTTGGAAAGCACAGATAAAGACGCTCTTTCTCCGGGACATTATGAGCACTGCGTGGGTGGATGGGGGCAAAGCCGGGACAAAAGGCCCGGTTGTTGTGCATGGACTCCGAGCTGAGAGCATCTCAGTTAGCCGCAGCGTCGACCCGAGTCATCCCATTTGACACACAGGCACGAGAAAGGAGCGACACTGTCAGAGGCAACTATCTCGACTCTACACAAACAGTAATTGTCATGTGAGAGTGAGAGGAGCCTCTGTCGAGTTTAGTGATCATGTAAATTAGGTGCTGTGCACAAGTTCATCTGCATGCATGCTTGTGCATTTGAGTGATGCAGAATAGATAGATAGAGGCAGTGCAAAACAAAACTCCAAAATGGTTGAACAGGCAACCATCTACACTACATAGTATTCTCGTTTCAAAGACAACTGGTGGGCTATTTTCAAATTCAGGGCGGAACAGTAGGTATGATAACTATAGTAAGACTATAGTAAGAGAAGAGAGAAATAGAATAGAAATACAAAGGCCACTATTCATTCTTTAACCAACACAACATATTTAATATTTTCAATAAGGCTCATAATTGTTGTTTAAAAAGAATTGTGACTAAGATATCTACTGGACAAGACAGTTTTAAGTTCCTATAATAAATATTTATACATGTTTGGACAGGCTTAGGATTTTGGAATGACTGGAAAGATGTGGGGGTCCCCCTTGTCCAGATTAAATCAAGAAATCAATATAGACTGCATGCTGGCGAGCTTTACTGCTTTTTCAAGTCAAGCCATCTGAGAATAGTCACAATCATCCAGATTCACAATTTGTTTTATCCCAATGTGCAATAATATCATATATCATCCCATCCCTGCTGTGCATGACCTGCTCAGGATCAGACAGCTGACAAACTGCTAGTGACTAGCTGCTGAACATGATGGAGCATTTAGCAGCTGGTCTCCCTCAAGGGACCAAAAACACAGTGTATATTGGACATTCGACAGGTGGGCAGAAATCCAACTCTAAATGAGTGATAATGTTGCTCTGTAAAGTAACTGGTGGTTGTGTAAATATGCTGGATGTGGGACCACCAGTTCACCATATCAACTTAGAAGGTGTTGTATTTCCACTGGCTAAAAGTCCCCCCACCCCCCACCCCCCAAAAAAGAGAAAAAAGAGAAAAAAGACTTACTGCAGCTTTAACTGTTGAAAAATATCCTCATTGCTTGTCACTATGTAACAGAGACACATTTTCTAAATACAATAGACATATCTTTGGCATCTCAGTGCAGCAGTTTGTTGCAACATACTTGCCGTCAAATTCACAGATACCAACATATCTGCAGTTACTTAACATCTGCAGGGACATGGTCGAGCCGATATACCTATCTAATGTTAACACAATTCACCTGACGTGAATGTTTCAAACGCAATAAATTCCCACTAAAGCAACTAAAGCGACTAAGATGATCACTGAGGAGTCTCTGATGTTATGTCAGACAGCACTACGTTAACAAATGGTATCATGATCTGGATATGATGTTGATGTGGAACATGAGAACACTGGTTATTCAGTTTTCTCCATAAACACAATCACAACTTTAAAGCAGGGTTTCTGATCATCAATCATTGCAGGAAAGTCTCTCACTCCTTCACATCATGAGTAAGCTCAGTAGTTAAAGATAAACCCAGCTTGTTTTATGGCTGAGGAACATGCAGTATGTCTGCATGTATGACTGCATGTATGACTGCATGTATGACTGCGCTGGATTTGGCTTCTCTGTCTTATCACCAGCAATTAAAGAAGAAACTGACAATGTATATTCTCTGACAATCCCGTATGACAATATTATATAAAGCTGCGTAACCATGTCAGACTTTTACATTTATTCTAGACCATAGATGTATTTATTATCTTCTTTTTTTTCTTTTTTTTTTAAACGGACTAATTACCGGCACTTGTGTAATCCCTCCATTGTTATGAAGACAAACACACACAGTATCTGAGTTTCTATTGAGTACTCCAGGTCACGCATTTGAGTTTCTGAAGCCAGGATATGATTTTCACATAGTCAAACACATAACTAGGATACTTCCGAAACAGATCATTGCCAGGATACTAGTGTACCTGTACAAATGTACTCATTCTGTCTGGGCTCACAAGTGTGAAGTTACAAAGCAGGGCTTCCTGTGTAATTTACGCAATACTGGAAAAAGACGTTCAGTGAACAAGAGCAAGTGACAGGGGTGTACTAACAAAATAAATATGCAAAGTAACAACCAGAAGACACAAGCAAGTTCAAAAGTCTAACTCGGAAGAAGGTCTCATAAGACTGTGTGATTGGTTAACAGAGGTTAACTCGCTCTTTACATTTGCTGGAAGGCTTTGTCACATGGCAGCCAACTGGTCACACAGGAGAAGCCATAAAACAACAGTAAGGGCCAGCTGGATGGATCTCAGTGTTTTCTTTTCATGACCACTGCCGTATCACTTAATGTCACACAACAGATGTAAACAGTGACTGTAAGGTAGGGCTGCACTATCAACTGAAATATTATCAATATTACAATATGGCCAAGTGTAATATCCAAATCCCAGAGGCTGTAATATTTGATAAAGGTAAAATATGTGACAAGGCATTGTAATTACTACTGGATAGTGCAGATTCCCTGACACACAAATCTTGTATCTCCAGACGTAAGGAAACATGTCTGTTTGGTACAGGCCCCAACAAATGTCATATTATCATGTTTTTAATAGTTTAATAAGTGAAAATTAAAACTGTGATGCAAAAACAGTCATTCCCAAGAACGTGAATCACATTGCAACCATAATATCTGTCTAAATAATGTGCTTTTTGTATCATACCGTGCAGCCCTACTGTAAAGCAGACACCTTGTGTTGTTTTAATCTCCCACCTACATTATGAACTACAAAGCACATCTAGGTGTTGAGGACATCTAATTTTATTGTCCACTACACTAGTAGTTGAGCATTTGGTTTCAAAGAGACCAAAAGGGAGAGAAAAAAGCATTGAGGTAAAAAATGCTATGGGGGGGGTCCAGAGGCGATCTGGGGAAAGGGCTAGTACCTGGAGTTAATTGGATCTCTACAGGTCAAAGTTGGGATGGGTCATTCCGGTTCAGCTGAAAAGAGTAATTTGTGGTCAAACTCTGGCTCTGAAAGCTGCACATAAAGCCAGCAGGTTTGACAGGCTTTGGCCTTCACAATTACTCAGTCAGGCAGGGTCGTGGTTTCCACAACAGTATGCTAGTGAGGCTTTTTAATGCTTCCAGACAGGACAAAACGAAGATGCTCACTGGGTTTAACTAGTAACATTAACTGCGCCTTGACTTACTAAAAACCAAAACCATTTACTAGCCAACGAGCTTCCAACTTCAACGCGGGAATAACGTACAAACAAACATCTAACGTGAACACTCACAGACAGCTAACGTTAGCTCACGTTAGACACGTCAGATTTACACATTTGTGTTAGCAGCATCAACGACTCGCTGGCCTGAAGTTAACTGAGATATGGCTCAGGTTAGCCCGCTATTAGCAACTACTTCACACCACAAACTTACAAATATACACAGCATTTAAACCTAAGATATCAATCCAACGCTTAAAACTACAGCCCTTTCTGTATGGTTGTATGTGCTGTAAACGAGAGCGCCTCACTATTAGCTCATTTTATCTGACGGTCTGGCAAAGTTTAATCATACACGATGACCTAACCTAGCTAACATTGGCGACTCGTCTTTGACAGTATCGTCAAGATACAACCGGCAACTTTAGCTGTGCCAAACACCAAAGCTGCGTTTATTAATTGGTATTAACTCCGTTTTGTTCACCGGGTCCCGGGTCCCCTTACCCGAGTCTTCTGTAACTGTAACTGCTTCGCTCAGCGGCCGTTGGTGTCGGTGCTCCTCTCCGCCTCAACCCATCTCCACCGATCCAGGACAGAGCTCCAGCGCCGCTGCTGGTGGAGCACAGATCGGTTATAGTGAAGAGGATCACTCTGGTGGTGGTGGTGGAAATGGAAATTCACCACACTCTTGCAGCATAGTCCACCTCTGCCATGTTAAACCTTACATGTTCCAAATATTAGTTTTTTCCAGGTGTTCACCTGATAGACCTGTCCACTATTAAGGGACAAAAACAACAGGCAGGGATGTAATGATACAATATAATTCACTTTCTGGGTTCTCACAATTTTTTTTTAACAAAATGAGATTGAAGACTTTCTCAGGTAAAACCCTACAAAATATAGCCTAGTTTTTCTTATATTTTCTTTATCGAATTAAAGATTTTTTTTCTGAGGGAGGATATAAACTGTGCAAAACAATGCATATTTTCCTTTTGTGAAGTGAAAAGCTATATTGTTTTTTTTTTTTTATTAGGCCTGTTAACTTATCATACTTAATATTTTTTTTTATCTTGAAGCCCCTTTTTGTTATTTTTTTTGTCTCGAAAAGGAGACCAGAGTGAGAGCTCTTTCCTTTTATCACCTCTAGGAGTAAAGAATGAGACAAGCATTGGGTATCATCAACACATGGAGAGCAGAATGACCACAGTGGTGATTTAGCGACATCTAACGTTTAAAAGCTGCAGCCACTTAGTGCTGACTCTCTTCCATGATGTTGCATTGACACTTTGTCATTGCGTAACATTAATGGGGTAATTTTTACTTAGCAACGGACCAATTCTTTCAAACAAACAAATAACTGAATATTGTGTTCGCCGCTCATCATAAGCAAAAGGAAGCTATGGATTTTATTTCAATGTGGCTGCAGTTTCTGTTCAGCCTATTGACTGCAGCTCATGTTTTAATATGTATGTATAAACAGCAATCCCAGCAAAGGGCAAATCTACACAAAAAAATGACAACCTTACATACACATTATTGCCAGCAGGCTATTAATAAAAAGAGGCTATATGTAAGTTTCCTGCAGTGCATCAGACAATGTGACATTTAGCCTACAGTCAAACTTAAAAGAACAGGTTTAGCAGTCAGTCAGATAATGGCCTTGTAGTGAGCATTGCCTTGCACAAGTCCCCTCTTAGCAGTCAGATCACATTTCAGACACATTTCATAAAAGCAACCTGTCTTTCAGAAACGATGGGCGTGAACAAACAGGAACACACACACACACACACACACACACACACACACACAAACACCCAATGCCTGCTGCAGAAAAAAAGTTTGAGTAGGTAGTGAAAAGGAAAGGCGGGCTGGCTGGCTGGCTGGCTGCTGCTGATGATGAGGTTTATGTGAGTTTTACTTGTCTTCTTGTCACTGTGAGTCTGCCACCCCTCTCCCGCGGGCTGACAGAGAACGCAACCATGGAAGAGGAGGGGGACACCCACAAGGAGATGAGGCATTTTCCTCTGCTGTGGCCTCTCCCCAGGTCCCGGTCTAAAAGTGACACCTCCGGATTTCGCTCCAGGGTGCTGTTCAGGCTCAGGGGGGCCCGCTCAGGTAGGACAAAGCACACAATTTTACCCCAAACTGTATAACAAAGGCAACCTATTCAAGTGTTAGTGTAAATCCTATCATAGGATCTTAAGGTTGAGGTTGAGAGCAAACTTGTTGAACTATATGATGCTGTTTTATACATTTAAATTGAATTCCTGCATAATTTTGTCAACCATTTGTTTTACAACTCAGCTGAGACATCAGTAACCTACTAAACTGTCACCCTCTTTCATAACCAATACAAACACTTGTTGCTCCTGTCAGGCAGCATCTCTATATGACTAATAAATGAGCACTGGCAATATTTGTATCTATGGGTTTCCTGTACTCCTACACAGAAAACTTTCCCTCCCTCTTCCTCTCGCTTTTTGCTCTGGATACCTCAAATAAGCAAACATGAAAAACTTTCTTTCTTTCTCAGTTCCTTTTCTTCTATCTTTATCTATACTGTATTTACTTTACCTATAAAGTGGTGCATGAATTATTTTTGTGCAACCCTGAATGACTTTAGCATTTAGACTTTAGAGTCTTTAATAATGAAGTTCATCACTGGCGCACCTAGTTCCTTTGACAAGTCACAAATTAGTGTGACTCGTGAAATGTGACTATAATTATGGTGTGACAAGTTCATACACCAGTAAATGTGCCAAAAATGTTAAAACAATGAAAAATGAGGGCCAAAGAGAGGGGATGAAACCTTTTCACAAGCTGCGAGACCTTGGCCACAGTGTCAACCGACTATTGTGTCTTCAGCGTCTAACTTAAATGTCACTGTCAAAGTTTTGCTGCCTGGAGGCTGTTGAGCCCTGACAGCCTTCTATGTCAGTGGTTAGAACCACTTCCTATCAGCCGTCTTCAGCACCTTAGCCTCAGCCTGCAGCGCTGCTCACACTCCTATATCCTTCTCGGACCTATCCTGCAGACGTGAAGTTCTTTTTAAAGTACCGCTTTTGCATGAGGGCTTGCTTGTTCTGCAGTCTGATTAATTTATTATAAGATTACAGTAATATTTATATTAGAAGCTGCAGTTATCTTCAGCTGCCACAGGAAGTGTTCTGTGTTTACGGTGGAGTTGTAATTACAGGAAACGATCATGAAGTGGAGCAGTTAGGAAATTAGATGTCCGATGTTGTTTATGTCTCCTGCCAGTTTGCATTTCGAGCTTCATGGTTTTTGAGTAACTTGGCTCAGCCTGACAACTGACTGTTAGATACTTCATATCAACAATCCTCTTGTGTAATTATCAGGGGTGTTTTTTCAGATCAGTGTTTTTATCATAGTTTTATGTAACATGGATTGAGACCAGCATTTAAGATTTCAAATTGAACTCAATTCACAAACATTTACTCTACTCAGTATTATGTTGAGAGGCTCAGGAAAATGAACTATTTGCAAATCAACCAGCAGGGGGCGGTAACTCACCCTTTTTTTCTACTGAAAAACTATATGCGGTAATGGCACCTCATCATATGGTGATATTACATTTTTCATATCCATCCCACAGGGCGAAGCTTCAAAAGCAGCTAAATGAGGAGAGAGCACGCTGGGTTCATTTAGCTCCATGTCTGAAATGATCTGAAATATAGATAAGATCTGACATGAAGCTCTAAACTACAAATGACACAAACAGTAATTCTCTCTGAAAAAATGTATGAAATACAGCACTCTTTTTTTAAACTTAAAGGGGAGAAATTGCTAAGCTGATGAGAAATGTCTCTTGCCCAAGGAAAAATGCTCCTGTGGGGAATATTACTAGAATTAATGGCTGAAAGGAGGAATGTCTTTTTCATGTCTGTGTAGTTGTTTTCTTTTCCATATCAAAGAAAAACATGAGACTGAAAGGGGAAATGCAGTCCACAGTACAAGTCAACAGGAAGCATAAACAAATATAAAGTAGGTCATTTTAGGTAAAAGTGACCTCTCAGGATTTCAAATGTTTATTCTTTCTTTATGTCCACGTCATTATTTTAAGGGTTATGGATCACTGGAACTCAATACATAAATAAAACTTTGATATTTTGTAAAGCTGGTGAATTTACAGACTTGTGGCAGATCATCAAATCATCACTCTGCAACAGTACAGTAGTTATTTGGTTGAATTTAAAATCAGTTCTTGCTTGTTATAAATTTGTAAACAGATTCCTGTCATGTTACTGGGTAAAGCACACTAGATATAACTAAGATATCAGCAGCTTTGACAGAAACAATTGTAAAGGAGAATATTTCCCCTCAAATCAGATCATTTGTCATCAAAACGTGACAGATATTAAGATTTAAACTCCACTGTTGACAGTTTGAAACAACAGTTGACAAAACCAATCTGCTGTGGAGGATCATGTCATATGACCAAAAGCTCCAGAACAGCTACTGAGTGTGGTAAGATTTTATTTACCAATTAAAATATACTGTAAGAACATTGTTGTTTATGGGCTAAAGACTCTGTTGAATAGCCACATGTGCGTTAGGTTAATAAAGATGGTGGTGATATATCATGTTTAATGCTATTTTCAATCACTATTATAATGTGTAGGCTGAGATGGTCTTTTCTGTCTGTAAATAGCATGCTGTCTTCCAGATGGGCACTGTATCGCTTTTGTAATTACACAGTCAGAGTAAAGAAGAAAGAAGAGTAGGATAAAAGGGCAGAAGGGACAGAATGGCAGAAGGGGGTGAAAAGGAGAGGAGAACAATGGGAAAAGAAGGGTGAGAAGAGATATATTAAGACAAAAGAAAACAATAAGAGGAGAAGGAAGAGAGTCAAACAGCGGAAAGTAAAGGAGACATGGGAAGATGATGAGAAAAGAGAGGAGAGGAGGCAAAAAGGGATGCAAGGACGGGATGATTAGAGAGGAGGAGAGGACAGATGGAAAGGTTGAAGAAAAGAGGACAACAGAGGAGTGTCAGCTTGTGGGTACTGTCCTCGAAATAACATTGATTACAGACCCTTTTAGTCTGCAATAACTACTTGTTAAAATGTACTGTAATGCAGAGAGCAGCGGCCCGTCCCCCTTCACTGCCCACACACAGTCTACCCTCAGCCACTGTTGTAGCTGATTTAACAGCCGCTCATATGACCAAAAAGGTCTGGTTCTTCAGTGATTCAAGGTTTTATCTATAATTGTGTTGCAGTTGTGTAGTTGTCGCTTCAGAAATTGTAATTATTAAAGGATACAATTTTATGCATATTTTGCAGATGGCCTAGTTTTGGAAACTGGAGATAAACAGACCCGTGCAAGGATATATGCAGCTAATTTGGTTTGTCATCTGAAAGCTTCAAAAACATTTAAATGAACTTGCCTTTCTAGTCTTCCAGCCACTCAAAGCGCTTTACACTACATGTCACATTCACCCATTCACACACTGATGGCAGAGGCTGCCATGCGACTGCTCATCTACTACAACTAATCCCATTCACAAACACATCAGGAGCAATTTGGGATTCACTCTCTTTTTACACTTCCACATGCATAAAGAGGAGCCGGGGGATCAAACCACCAACCTTCACATTAGAGG